TCGAGCAAATCATTTCAAACCTCCTTGTAGCCAACACACAGGTTGTGAACCAAGCAACAGACTCGATTGTGAAATTACTTCGACATCCTGAGATCACTATACCTTTGATGAACATTTTTATGAATCATCCTCGTGTTGAAATGAGACAAATCACAGGCGTGTTGCTCAGAAAAAAAATCTGCGCATTATGGATCAAACTCCCACCAAACGTCCACGACCAAATAACAACAACTCTCATTCAAATAGTCAACACTTGTGACATCAGAGCAATTTTACTCACAACCGCCCAAATTATAAAGTCAATAGCAAAGATCACTGTTCCAATTGATAAATGGCCAAATCTGTTGCCAACAATCTTACAATGGACACAAAGTCCAAACGATTTGCAAAAGGAAGTAGCCTTGAGGTTAGTAGCTGATGTGGCTGGTTATTATTTGAATATGCCAAACAATGGGTTGATGTTTGGGTTATTCCAATTAGTTGGGAGCACTTTATCAACATCACAGAATTTCAAAATCAAAAAAGAAGCAATAAATATTTTGTCTGTGTTGTCACAATTTATCGAAAAGCCAAGCGATTTGGCGCCATTTGAACAACTCACGCCTCTCATCGCCAACACAATGAAAGATTGTATTAAATTGTCTGATGAAGATGACTTTTGTGATTTAGTAGAAGTGTTGTCGTCGATTGTCGAAGGATTCAGTGAGGTCCAAGAGTTCGACACAATGACACAAAAAACAATGTCACCGATATTGGCACTTTGCTTAGAAACAGCTGGAATTCAATCACTTCCCGCATACATTAGACAATCTGCGTTGTACTTCATAAACACATTTGTGGAATATCAACTTGAGTATAGTGTGTCAAGTGGTATTGTCCCTCCTTTGACACAATTACTAATCAATATACTTTCAGAATACAATCCACTTGATCCAGAAGATGAAGAAGCGCCACATAGAATATATGCTGGAGAAGTGTTGAGCACAATGGCAGAAATATTACCATCTTCGGATTTCTTCCCACTCTTTTGGGATATCGTCTCGAAAAACTTGGAATCGACTGCCCCTGGGATAAGGTGTGCGGTGTCGCTTGCACTAGGGACGATGTCATTCACGTGTCCAGTATCTATTAATGAAGTTGGTAACATCATATCTCCATACATCCTCACTTCTCTTCAAAATGAGAACATATCTGTAAAGGGATCTGCACTTACTTGTATTGGTAATTTTGCGGATAACAGCGTCGCGTTCATATATACAAACTGTGACATGTTCTTTTCGACGTTACTTGCTTTGACTAAGGATAGTAATGTCGACCTTCAATCGGCTGCATTTTTCGATATCCACATTATGGTCGAAAAATTATCACTTGAAGAGATGAAGAACTCTGTTGGTCCATTGCTGAACCGATGTATTGAAGTTGTGTTGTCGACACCTGACTATGATGTCAGAGATGCTGCATTAGCAACACTATCGGCTTTGGTGTTCTTGGCTGGCGAATTGATAATTCCACACGCACAGCCAATCATCCAAATTGCAAATCAATTGATTGTTGCGGAAGTCCACAAGGATATCGAAATCATTCAAAAGGGACGTGGTATTGAGTTGTTTGGATGCATTGCAAAAGCTATTGGAAAAGATGCGTTCAGGCCATATCTCGAGGCTGTTGTGAATATTATCCGACAGATGTTAGTAATGAAACACACATTTGAGTATGAAATTAGAAAGTTTTCATACAGCGCGCTTTCTGACTTGTTTTCAGTCTATGGAAGTGAGTTGGCGCCGTTGATCCCAATGATTATCGAGAGACTTATTAACACTTTCCAAATGGAAGACGATGACGATGAGAAGAAAGAGCAACTTGGAAACATTTCTTCTGATGATGAGGATGACGAGGAGGAAGAACATATATCATATAGTTCTGGATTAGTCGATGAAAAAGGGCGCGGTGCTATTTTGATTGGAAAGATGTTTGAGTCCGTTCCACGAGAGATGGAAACATATGGGATTGCTCTTTTGGGATTTCTCAATAAGATGTGTGCTGACGACAGAATAGACGTTGCGGATTGTGCGTGTGAAACTTTGTGGAAAATATTATACATTCCATTGGTGAAAGAAGGGTTGTACAATCCGTTGGGACAAAACCCGACGGGCGCAAATGCAATGAGACTTGTCAATGAAGGGACTCTCACAAAAGTCCAACTCACATTGGAAAGTTTACCACAAAGTGTCATGGCTACTTTAAAAGAGGTGACTGAAACGTATTTCTTGGTTTCAGACAACACGAAATATCGAGATATTTTGATCACGATTTTGAATCAGTTCATTGAAATATTCACATTACTTGGAACGGCTGGTGCACATTTTTGCATTGTGTCACTGTCAAATTTGACTCTCAAAATATTGAATCAACAAACAAAAGCTCAAAAGCAAAATTTAGGGTTTGACCCAAGTGAAATTCATGAGGCGGAAAGTGACTTATTGTCGACAGTTGGTGATGTGTTAATGATGTTGTTCAAGATGTTTGGAAAGAATGTGTCAGATTACTTTGTCCAACTTTTTGCCATCCTTTCAAAAATCTCACAAAAAAGAAACAACAGTGCTATGAAATCCACCGCAATTGGTGTCATTGCAGATTTCTTTGTGTACTCCAACTTCTGCCCAGAGCAAATTATCGATCCTGCTCTTGCTTTGTTTTTACACAATTTAACAAGCAATAACGAAGACGTCACTATTAATGCGGCATGCGGATTTGGATCACTCGTTAGAATAATACCACAAAGTCATTCCCAAAGTGCTTTGAACGCTTCACAACAAGCTCTTCAGATCATTGCGACGAGAATTATCACTGCAAAAAGACCGGGAGTAATCGACAATTTTGTGTCGTGTGTGTGTAAAATCCTGTGTGTGCCAGGATGCCCTTTCCAACCACAAGCAATCCTCCCACAACTCATCAGATTTTTACCAATCACATCCGACCACGAAGAGGAGGAAAACGTATACTCCACATTTGCTAAGTTTTACATCAACATCCCCGAACTTAACGCACAAAAGTCTCTTCTCATCGACGCATTCAGAAAAGCACTCAATGTGGAAGGAGTCAGAGACTCCACAAAGCAACTGCTTCAGAAGTATCTTATGTAAGACTTGCTTTTATTTATCTTCGTATCTCTTTTTGTTTCTATCTTTTTTCATTTTAAAAATAAAATTTATTTTAATTGTTTGATTTCGTTTTTCCTTTTCGACTCAACGCCTCATTTTCTATTTTTGTATTTTTTTCTCTGATATTTAAAAAAAACCAAAGTTAACAATAGGTATTGTTCAGTATAGTTTATTTATAATAATAATATAAAAATAATAATTGGTTTGCATGGTAGTTGAAGGGGAAAAAAATTAGTAAAATATATTTAATATTATAGTTGTTATTTCTTTGACCATTTTCAAGTTAATTCAACTGAAAAAACACAAATGATTTTGTACATCCTTCTCATCGTGTCAGTGCTTGGATATGAATACACGTGCAGTACCGAAATCGAAGACTCCAAAGATACTGATTTGCAGGCGATTGAAGTCACTACCGTTAATAGTTGTGTGACACAACATGGTAAAATTGTAGTAAGAAACTTAAACGGTGCTGTTACAGAGGTGAGTATTAGCGACAGTTTGTCTTATTTGTGTTTGACTAACAAAATAATTAACACACAGAAGTGTACCCCATTTCTTCAACTTCAAACAACCACGAGATTTCTGTTCTTTCAGGATTTTACACAATGAAAGTGATTAAACGATCTGAAGGGACTTGTAGGTATCGACTATTTAAAGTGACTGTGAAGAAAGTAGATGGTTTGTTTTTTTTTTCAAATACACCAATAACTCACTTGAAGAATGCGAACCTTTTTATACTGCAACTGTCAAGGAAAAGAAGATAATATGGCAAGTCGACAACACAACAACGGCGTAATTTGAATGTTTTTATCTTCATTTGTTCTATTAAAAATGACAAAAATGAAAACAAAGAATGAGGTACAAAACAGAGTTAGTTTTTATGCCTTGATTGCGTTCTTCTCCTTTACCTCTGCTGTTCTCTTCTTAAGTTTCAACTTTTCAGTTTGGATATCAGCTTGTGTGTTAGTAAGTTGTCGTTTTAAGTCAGCCTTTGAAGTTCCTTTTACAGTATTAAGTTGTGCTTTGATCTTATCAGCATTCTCTTGGAGGACTTTGATCTTGTTGTCATATTTCTCTTCGACTTTCTTAACCAATCCTTCGACAACTTTCTTTTGTTTTTGTTCAGTCTTAGCGAGTTTGGCTTTAGTAACGGCAAGTTTCTTTTTCTCTTGTGGAGTTGTTTTGTCTTTCTTTTCTAAAGCAATAACCTTTTCTTTTAGTTGTTCAACTTTCTTTGCTTGCTTTTTTGCTTGTTTCTTGGCAAAGTTAATTGACTTGTTCATCACCGCGTTGGTCTTCTTTTCAGTCTTCTTTGTCTGCTTAATTTCTTCTTTGAGTTCTTTGATTGCCTTCTTTTGCTTGGCTTTTTCTTTTGCTAATTTCTCGGCCTTCTCTGCGCGCTCTTGTGCCTTCTTCTTCTCAACCTGAGCAAGAGCAAGCTTTTCTCGAGCAACACTCATTTTCTTTTCGATATTTGCGCGGTGGGTTTGTTGCTTATGGAACTCATCGAGTTGTTTCTCAGTGAATCCAGTGTCTTGGTGTGCGTCTTGAATCATTTCTTTGACAGAAGAGAATCTATGCTCTATCTTCAACCGACGTAACATGGCAAGGCGTTGTTCGACAGGAAGAACCGCCATCATCTTCTTCATTGCGTCCAAAATGGTTTTTTTCTCGCTCGTTAACATTGTCACTTTCTTTTTGAGCCACACTTGGACTTCGCCAATCTGCGCTCTGTCTTGATCACGAACAGCTTTCTTCCCATCAACAGATGCCTGGTCTAATTTGTTCAACACACGACGTTCGATATCTTCGACCTCACTCAATCGATTCTCTAAAACGCCAACTTTCTCTTCAATTTTATATATCGGTGCTACAAAAAAGCCAGTGACCGCAGGCTCAGTCATTGCAACTGCGCTGTATGCTATAACAAAAAGTACTACCAATTGCATGTAAAATATAATTTTTCAGTTATTTTCAAGTTCTTCTGATTTTTGCTGTGTATCAATTGTTTGTTCATTAGATTTACTATATTTATATAACTCTTTTACCATCACATTTCTATTCATTGTCGTGGAGTTAAATAAAAAATGGTTGGATGTTGATTAAAATGTTATATATAACATTTATGAGAAACAAAGAGAACTACGAATTTGTTGAGAGGTATTAAGATGAAGGTATCCGATAGTTACACATCATTCGACGATTCGTCGAAATCAACAAACTCGGCAGCGTATGACACGGAGCCTAATACCCCTTATCTACTTGGTGGAATTTTACTTGCTATTTTCATGACAACGTTCTCAATATTTTTGCTAGTGATGTGTTTCACACCCAACCATATTATACAACCAGTCATCGAGTCAACACCAAACACAATCCTTTGGAAACAATTTTCTTACCCACAACATATTTATCCGACGAGTTGTACAAACATCACTTGCCCAATATTGTCGTACATCTACCACAAATCGTTATCAGAAAACACATTTTTGGATGACGAGACGTGTGAGAGTTTAAGTGATATTTTGATGACCAATATCACCAATTCCACTCCAAAACTCTTTGATGGACTTTACGATCCATACTCATCACCTAGAAAATTCGCAAAAAACGGACTTGATATTGACATTGTGTCCCTCGAAAGTGTGTATTCTGTCGAACAGGCAAAAACGTTGATAAAAAAATCGCCTGTCATCCTCACATTAATCAACGCAACAAACAATTGTGAAATTGAGGGGAATACAGTCGAAATACCAGTCGAGTCTGGGAGAACGTTTCACGTGACACAGAACGTCTCGAACAACGGAATTAAAACTTTTTGTGTTGTTGGATGGGATGATACATTTGCAGGGGGAGGATTTATCATTCATGGGGGTATCCACTCTATGGGGTTTTACACTGGAAACGTCTCAACAGATTACGAACTACAACTTTGTCAAAATAGTCGTGGCTCAGTTGATTGGATAATCGACACAACGACATATGAAGAAAATTCGTATTTTGACGACACTAACACGGCGACGATGCTTAAATGCAACGATCCGAAGTTGTGTAAAGAACTTGGGTTTTATACCATTGCATTGAAGAACCCAACAGGGTCCAGAATGTATCAAGTTCGGATGAGGTATTTTGATGAAAACAACAAATACACTGGAACTCTATATTTTGAAAGTATTCAACAGTATGAATTAGAATATCTATTCGATAGAATTATGTCAAAAGACAGAGACCCATATTGCGCGTATAGTTTTTTGTCATATAGCGCTTTTAATACACTCAAGAAACTTTTCATATTAATACCAGAGATGGACTATAAGCAGTACTCTGTTGTTTGTTTTTTTATGTCTTCGTGAATATATGATTTACTAATTATTTAGGCTTTCACTGCTTATGAATATATAATCACATCAAACTCAAAAGGAATTGACATTAAAACACTTGCAAAAGAGAAGCCTAACAAATTCACAGGAAAGAACCTTATCTTTCCCGAATGAAATCATGTTGTTGTTTATTGTTACTGTTTGGTGTTTTTATTAATCTCTAAAATTAAAAAAAAAGAAAGAAGAATACATGTATTGACAAGGCTCCAAGGTTTGTATCACTTCTGATTTTCAATCATTTGGTGCAAGAGCCTGTTCCGCTCATCACCAATCCTTTTAAGCTCTTCAACTTTTTGAAGTACCTCTTGCATCGTTTGGTGTTCCTCGTCGTTTTGATCACTCTCATTATCTTCGGAACTTTCAGTGAAAGAGTCTGAGTCGAAGTCTTGTTGAGTTGCAATTGGTTCTGTGCATTGAGTGTTTTGGGGTATGAAGGGTTGAGATACGTTTTGTTGTTGTTGAGTGTTTACAAACGGTTGTAAATTTTGCGTTTGAATATTCTGGAATTGGTTCAACGAATTTGCGAGTGGTTGTTGTGTTTGTGGTTGAAAGAAGGTCGAAGGGAGAGAAGGTTGCATGAATTTGTTTTGTTGGTATTGGTAGTTTTGGAAAAACAAATGTTGCTTTGAAGTCGGTAAAAGTGTGTGCGACACCTTTCTTTGAGCAGTTTTTTGTGGCTCCATTTGCTCGTCGAAAGCAAAGACTCCCATGTCTAAAAATTGTGGATTTTCTTTGTCGTCAGAATCATCTTCGACCATTGGAGTGTCCATTGGTGTGACAACTAATAAGGGAGATACTTGCGACATTTGAGCGAATTGGTTTGGTACCGAGTTAAGAGCTACAGGTGACCATCCAAATGAGTTTTGGGCTTGAAACTGTTGGTGCGAAGTGAGAGGAACAGGGCGACAAGTGATGAGGGGAGTGTCTTTGTGATGGCTTGACATTGTCTTTGAGTTTGAGATTCCGTCGGAAGGTTCTTGCCTCCAGAACATCTACAGTGAGGATGAGGGGATAAGCCATTAAAAAACCATAAATAAACCATTTAGTGCAAAATGCGTCTATTTGGTGTTGTTCCAAACACTTCTGTTGCTCCCTGTTTTATTGTTTTTCTAAGTTTTTTGTTTGTCATTTCATCCCAGATTTTTCGCCTTTTGTTACCTTAGGTGGTTATTGGCTGTTTAATTATTCGTTTAACGATTTCACTTATTTTTTTGTTTTATTTGCAGACATTAAAATGAAAATAACGGGGTATTATTAAAAACGGTAAAAAAGTGTTTTTGGACATAAAAATTTTATTATTTTTTTTATAAAAAAAATTGTTAGGTAAATATTACTAGAGATATAATATATATAAACCAAGATTATTGCTAATATTTTATTAATTTTTATTAATAATTTGTTTTAAAAAAATAGTTATAAAATCCGATTTAATAAATTAGTAATAGTAATTATTTATTACTATAATGGATTTTTAGTATAAGTTCTCAACTCTTTTGTTTCTAATGGTAAAAAAAGTATCATATAACTTTTAAAAACAAACCATAGTTATGTATAGAAAAAAATATATTTCTTTATATTTGATGTTTTTTCATTATTATGGCTTTCCACAATAGAAACAATTTATATCAATCAAATCTAATACATGTCATTGAATATATAGTAAAAAATAATTTCAAATGTAATATAATATATCATAAGTTATGAGTAATAATTTATGAGGTACTAATTGAGTTATTAAACAAATCTGAAATTATAAAAACAATGGATTCTAATCAAACCACTGAAATTATCACGTCTCTCATTACTGATATTTTTAACCACAAAAAGTTCACAGTCTTTGAATTAAATAAAATTGAAACTACGTTAGACGACGTAGTCAATGAAGAACCTCAAATGAAGCAGACATTAATTAATTTATGTAAAAAAATTGTCGAGGAAAAGCTTACAGAAACGTTTAACTTTTTAGTTGAGCAAAATAGTTTCAACTTTCTTGAAGAAGTTGGTTCGTTTTGCGATACATACAAATTTGAAACTGAAAAATCACTCAGCCAAAAATTATCAGTTTTTGATGACACGTTTAATGTGACTTCGACATATTCTATATCAGACATGTTGCACGACACTTGGGCAGTGTTTTTCTCTAACGTGGTTTCTGTTTACGGCATAGTAGAATCATTGATTGAGTGGGTAAATACAGCGATCATCAACAATACCTCGATCAACAGTAAAGCACTCTCAGTTTTAAAATACGTGAGTGTTTCGTTAGACTGTTCTTTAGGAGTTGCTGTTTTTGAAAGTCTTGAAAATAAAATTGACAAACTATTTGAAGCCAGTGTAAAGGAATTAGAAAACAACACCAGTGTGTATGGCATTCAGGTGTATTTGTTTTACACCAAACTCGACAACTTACTACAAGGTGTTCCACCAGAATTCACAGACAAACTGTTGAAAAAAACGTTGAGAATTCTTGTTAGTGATCAATTTCCACTTATAATGGATAATTTGAAACATTTTTGGGAAAGTGGAGACTTAGAGGGGATTAAGAATTTGATGAAAGTTATCAAGTTGTCGAATGTTTCAGCGGACTTACTTAATACATTCAACCAACATGAATTTATTTGTTGCAACGACTTTGTTGTGAAGTTTTTGAAAACAAAAGACGCGACTCTCCGAGGATGTTTTGAAGTGGTTGATATGAAAAGAAGCTATGAAAAGACGGGTGTCAAAATTTCTGTTCTTGTTGAAGTGATCAAAAACGCTTTCATTGGATGGGCCGCTTATCAAATGAATGGTGAGACAATTGTCGTACAACTTGTTAAATATATAAGTGGGTTGTGCGACAATCTCGGGAAAGAATTTAATACCGATGATTTGAGGAAAGCTTGTGAAGTTGTGGAAATCATATCAAATAAAGATTTATTTGCTTTGATGTACTGGAAGAATCTTTTTTCTAAGCTAACTGGAGCTAAGATCCAAAACATAGAAAACGAATTAGTTTTTATCCAAATGTTCAGAGGAGTTGTTGATAGCAGTTTGTCAAAGCGTATCGTCGATCTTGTTAAAGACTACAACATGTCAACTGGAATCAATGGAAAATATCAAAAATACATGAATGAAAATGGTCAAGTTTATGATGTTAATTTTAAAGTCCAAATTTTCGGGGTTTCACAGATGGAAGACAAATACATTTCAGATGTGAAGATGCCAACAGTACTCACAGATATATTCACAAATTTCAATAAATTTTACACATCTTTTTCATTTAAAAAGAAACTGACCATCCTTCCACATTTTTCGACGTGTTTTGTGAATTACTCGAGTAAAGAAAGCAATTTCATAATGTATGGAAATACATGCCAAATATCAATTCTATTAAAGTTCAATAAACAAGACAAACTAACAAAAAATGAAATTGAAGATATGTTTTCAAATCAACAGATGAAGGAGTCTTCACTTTCACTACTACTTCAAAACGGCATTGTCGAGGATAAAGGCGGTGTAATTGAGCTTTCAAAAAGTTTTACTCCAACTACCAAAGTAACGAATCTCTTATCGAAAAAGAAAGCAGAAACAAAAGAAATTGTTAAAAAAAATGTGCAAGAATACGAATTTAACAAAGTAATTTGCTTTTCAACGAAAGTACTCAAACGGATGAAAGAAGTTAGTTATGATGAACTTTATGAATTGGTGCAAAATGAAGTTAAGCCATTGTTTGTGCTCAAGATCAATCAATTCAAAAGGGTTGTAGAGTTCTTAGTTGTCAAAGGGTTTGCCACAAAAGAAGAGAACAACATCATTCAATACGTTGCTTAGTGTTATTTTGAATTGTAAACGTAAATAAAGTCATAAATTATCATATTTGACAGTCTTTGTCTTATGGATATTGAAAAGTTTTATTCAATCAAAAGGCACAAAACAACGCGCTATAAATCGTCAATGTTGACATGTGGGTTGTGTGTATCTGTTTTTTGTTTGAGCATTGTTTGGTACTCTGATGCTGTTATAAACCCATCAAACTCAATACAATCGGATTTTGTTGCATTGAATTGCTCTTGTTCGCGGACTACTTCATCACGAAGTGCGGCTAATGCTTTGAATCGTGCGATGTTTGAAGGATCCATTTTTTCTTTTGTAAATTAAGTTTTTGACATTTTCATTTCGTTTTTTGTTTAAACATTGAGAAAATGTATTTTTAAAACATTATAAAAACACAAACCACAATAAAAAATCGAAAATGATATAAAAATGTTATTCAAACTGTTATAACAAAGCATCATTAAATTTAACTTTATGGATAAATCAAAAAAGTAAAAATTTAAAGGAATAATTAAATATGATATAGATATTGAGTTCTTTTTATTTACAAGAAATGGGTTTGGTAAAAGAAACTCGAAATTATGACTGTTTTAAAGATAAAACGATAAAACAATGCTAAACAAAATTTGTTTCCATTAAAATAGATGGCAAAAGAACTCCAAAATAAATCAATACTTAAAAACAAGAAATAAAAAAAGCCAATCAAACGGGAATATGAAAATAATAGTTCTTTTTGACTCTTTCTTTGTAATTTTGGCTTGGAACTCTATATTTTGGCTTTGAACGATTTGAAAATTTGCTACTTTATCGGCAATATATCTGAAAGCCATTTTAAATATTAGTAATTTAAGTATATATTTAAAAAACAAACAAAAAGTATGGTAATCCAAAAATAAGAATGCCTATAAAACCAAAAGTGTGTCTACGGGTTAAAGATAAGTTTATTAAACATCCTTGGTTTTTAAATACTAAACGAAAAAATCATTAATGTCTACAGCTCTTGATACACAAAAGGTCAAGAAGGCCGGCTGGCTTATAAAAGAAGGCGGCCGGTGGAAGAGTTGGAAACGAAGGTTTTTCATCTTTGACCAGAAGACTCTTTCATACTACAAAGACCAATTAGTTTGTTTTTTATATCTTTTAAGCAAAAAATGACTTGAAGTTGATGCAACAAATGGGAGAAATCCCAGTCAAGTTGGCGACTTGCATCGAACCAGTTGGAAAGTATAAAAAACACGACTTTGTATTCAAAATTGTGACACCGTCACGTACGTTTTATATCAACTGTAGTGATCAAAACGATTTAAATGACTGGATCGACTGCTTAAAGGAATTGTCTGCAAGAGTCAACGTGTCTTTGGCAGTTTGTTATTTATTTCGACTGTTTAGTAATTATTTTTTATCAAAATGTTACAACTTCGAGAAACACCTTAAAAAGTATTGCTCACAATATAAAAGGCAAAACGCACAAATGTGGATTTTCCAAACATCAAAAGTGACCAACAGAAAATACCGAAACAAACTGTGACTGAAGACGACTTTGAAATCATTTCGCTTGTTGGAAAGGGCGCGTTCGGCAAAGTATTTTTAGTTAAAGAGAAGTCTACGGGGACATTATATGCGATGAAGGTGGTCACTAAAAAACAGGTGATCGAGCAAAACGAAGTAGAACATACCTTGACGGAGAAAAACATTCTGGCAAAAGTGAAACACCCATTCTTAGTCAATTTATATTACTCATTCCAAACCTCATCTGCACTCCATTATGTCATCGACTACTGCCCAGGTGGGGAGCTTTACGCACTGATGCAATCATCAAAAACATTTAAAGAACAAAGAGCCAAATTTTACGCTGCACAAATGGTGCTTGCCATCGAACATTTGCACAACCAAGGTGTCATTTATCGAGACATCAAACCTGAAAATATTATGGTGTGCGAAGATGGATATATCCGACTCACCGATTTTGGTCTTTCAAAAACAGACGTCCCCGACGCAGCAAAGACGTCGACATTCTGTGGTACTCCAGAATATTTGGCACCTGAGTTGGTAATGAATGTGCCTTACACCAATTCGATTGATTGGTGGGGTCTTGGCATATTAATATATGAAATGCTGTTTGGAGCAGTGCCGTTCTTCTCGGAAGATATACAAGAACTTTACAGAAATATATTGCACAAACAAGTGACATTTCCTGCAAATACAGAGATCACACTGCAATGCAGAGATGTCATTGAGCATTTCTTACGAAAAAAGCCAGAGGAAAGGTTTGGTGACGTGGAGCAAATTAAGGAACACTCGTGGTTTTCTGATATTAACTGGGAAGAACTTTTCTCGAAAAGAATTGTTGCGCCGTACATCCCTAATTTGTCGTCACCAACCGACTTAAGTTGTTTTAACAAAAGCATCACTTCAGAAGACAAAAAGATCACAGGGGAGGCTGTGAGCAATGAGGCATTTAAGGACTTCACCTACATCAACCACGAGCAACAATAAGATAATCCTAATTCAATTTCGGCTGTTTTGTATTATTACTTATAATTATAATGGTCAAAAACATAAAATAAAAGAAAACACACTTTTAGACGACCCCTTAGAAGTTTCCTGGCGGCAAAAGCATTCCAGTCTTTTTGCTCCAGGACCCTACTGTCGGATCATCTTCGCTTTGTTGAATGTTGATGTCGTTTGCGTCCATTGACCTCCCGAGAAAAGACTGTTGTGTATCGATTTTGAGGCTTTGGGCAACCGGTTCAGTGTCTTGTGGAGATAAAGACTCCATCCCTTTTGTGCAAAAAATGTCGGATGTTTGCCTCCTCTGCTTGCGCTCTTTCATCTCATCAGAGCGAGTTTCCTTTTCTTTTTTGAGCTCCGTGAACGTCTTGAATTTCATTTGAGACTTCATCACATTCTGGTGAATTGCTGATGATGAAATGCCTTGATACACAAACCCACGAGACTCGGGCTGCACCTTGCGCTGCTCTTGTTTGTGTAGTTCTTCTTCGTACAAATTAGCTCTGACAAGAGAGGGAGGTGTCATTGGTTGTAACATGAACGGGTTGGAATTTAAGATGTTCAGAACAATCCCCTTGTTAAGACCATCGGAATATACTTGATAATATGTTGTAGCATTATACCCCATACTCCGCAATTTGGCCGCAGCTGCGGGATTTGGAGCTATCTTTTGAAGGACTTGATCAACGGTGAGTTGAGTACCAGGTGGGAACGACCTGAGTGGTTCAGCTGATGGAGGTAAGACATAGTCAACCACAAAAGGTTTTTTAGTAATGAAAGGGTGCTGGAGAGCTTGGTCTGGGCGCATCCTAACTTCTGGGTCCCATTGTAAAGCTCGTTGGATGAAGTCCAGAAATGCATGTCGCATTTCAGCTTTTCGTGGTTCGTCGGAGGCAGAAACTCTGAAGTTCACTTTCATTGCAATATCTTCAAGTGTTTTATAAGAGAAATATTCGCGATTAGGCTCAGTGTACACATTGTTGTCCTCCTCGAACTCGCGCTTTGTTTTAAAAGCCCAAACATCGTCACTGTTTTTCATTTCAATCGCGCGTTTACGGCGGAAGAATTTTGTAGTTTTAGTGCCTTTATTGAGGAGTGAAGTGGGAGGCAGGCCGATCATATTGATGAATTTGTAAATCATGTTGTACTCACTATTGCCCGGGAAAATTGGAATACCAACAAAAAGCTCTGCCGCCATACACCCGAACGACCACATATCTATCGCAGATGAATAAGGCAATCCTAAAATGACTTCTGGAGATCTATAATGTCTCGATTGAATGTAATTATAGAGTGTGGAGTTCTCGAAAC